ATACAGATTTTACCATACATATGAAGGCGAAGATGTAATGGCCTCTATTTTGGTCACAGTCCCCTTCCACCTCTTTTTCACAATTTGGCCTTGTTGTCAGGGCGACTTAGGATACACACATCTTGTCCGAAGTCCTCTGCGGTATTAGCTATGATAATTTTCAGTGTCAGACCGTCGACATGATATATTTCTAGGCGTTTCGCTGGCAGCATTGTTCACATCTTCAGTGATTTTTCGCCATACTAAGCACCAAGCTACAACTCGTCAGAGAGACAAGACCTGTCTCTAAAGTGTTTAACAACTTTTTTAGTTTAAAGTGAATACATGTGCTAATGAGTGGATCGTTTTCCAAACATCCACTCCACAATAGAGATAATTAGCCTACCATAAATGTGAGATATCCAACTCTAGAGGCATTTATTGAACTTAAATCTGCCTACTTGGGCAAAGCAAACGTCACACCATTAGAACTTTTACTTTTATCAAGTTTGAGTAAGTTTCGAAATTCAGAAAGATCCCAATTAAGAACTGTATTCATTCTAGGACCTTTCACCTTGTAGGAAATGTTTCACCGAGTGGATTTACAAAACGGACTCTTCTAAAATTGAATAACGGTCTTGAATTCTGACTTGAGTAAAGACATTTTACGCTCTTCGTCTTGTAGTCTCGAAGAATTTACGCTGCGCCGGCTCCTATCCTCTCCTGACAGGAATGGTAATGGTGAAAACCAATCGTTTAGAGAAATTCTCCAATCGCCCTGCAAATAATGAGGCCCGAGATTTTCAGGGAGCATGAGTATAGATTGGTAATATTATTATGGGTGTGACTGAATATTTATCCTAAAGGACATGTTGTGTTACACTACAATGAAAATTGATGCTCTGTTCTCTGAATTTATGAATGTTGTGGTTGTGCAATGCTCATCCGTATATCTTCACTACCCAGTTTGTCATCGCATATGCAAAGATAATGTCCCAAATGAGCTATTCACGACCTGGACGAGGTAAACAATACCAGAAGGGGACATTTTTTTGGCAAACTGCGTGCAAAAGAATGCTTACAAGAAGTGGTTTCTTCTCGTTTTCACAGCTTGCTCATATTGTCGGGGCAGCATGGATGAAGTTACCTCGTCTGAACTCTTCTGCTATGGTAGCCACGAAAACTTCCAGTTTCGCACTGTGGATTTGGTACATTCCCAGAGGCTTCGCCGATGTCGTATTCTGCATCCTCAGTGAGCCTCGTCATTCTTAACGCCCAGCTACAACTTGCCAACGAGACAAACTCGGTGTTGGTAACAGCCGGACTCATAGACAAGGCCGAGCAAATGTCTATAACTATACCAAGTGCTTAATGAAGTTTTGTCGGACGTTCAGTTGCTGTGCTATCAAGTATGGAAACTTGGTGGCCGAGATGGTATGCTGCAAAGAGGTTCAACGCCGAAATTTTGCAGTTAGGCGCGAAGCAACGCATCTTCGTAGAGGCATTACGAGAAACTACGGCCCTGGTGCCGCGTCGATCCGGTCAGAGTCGGTTATGTTGAATGTATGAAAAGAGAGAAGAGCACCAGTTGGTTCGAATGTGAGTGTAAGTTGGTGCATGCTTTTCCTGAACAAGAGTCAAATCACCCTAGGTCGCATAAGGTGAATTTTCCCCAAATCCTATTGTAGAAGAGTCTCGAAGGCATATTTTAGCTGCATTTTTTTTCTCTTGTTCCCGACCCAGGGTAAGAATGGTAGTTATGGCCCACAGAGAACCAACTTATTTGGCGTTGACTCTAATGTTGGGCTTAAATGCGCCGCAAAAATGTGCGACGCACAATACTGGCTCCTTTAGAGGTGGCGCGCTCAGAAATTTCTCGTTAGGAAATAACGCGCTTAAAAACAGCTCGTTTAAATATGTGGCGCTCATAAGTAGTACATTCAAAGGTGGCGCGTGCTTAGAAGTAGCAAGTTGAGAGATGGCGTGCTCAGTAATAGCTCGTTTAGAAGTAACGCGCTCAAAAATAGTTTATTTAAAAGCGACGTCCTTAGAAGTGGTACATTTAGAATAGGCGCGCTCAGAAATTTCTCGTTAGGAAATAACGCGCTTAAAAACAGCTCGTTTAAATATGTGGCGCTCATAAGTAGTACATTCAAAGGTGGCGCGTGCTTAGAAGTAGCAAGTTGAGAGATGGCGTGCTCAGTAATAGCTCGTTTAGAAGTAACGCGCTCAAAAATAGTTTATTTAAAAGCGACGTCCTTAGAAGTGATACATTTAGAATAGGCGTGCTCAGAAATGAAGCGCTGAAATGCATTGTAAATTAAAGTTTCGCTTCGTAGATATTTAAAAAAACGGATTTCAGAAGAATCCCTCAATAT